CTCTGTCTGACTTCTCCTCGCATCTTACACAAGAAAAGAAACAAAAAGACCTTGAACATTGCAGAAAATCTCTTGTACTGTGCAGTACAATGACTTCTTCCCCTGGTGTCAAAGACAACAACCTTACAGAGGTAGTGGGGAACAGAAATATCCACCTGGCATTATCAAATATTCCATAAGTGAGTTCAGTGTCAGGAAAGTTTATGATCACAACAAATAAATGGTGAATGCTGAAGAGAGTTCACAAAAGGACAGGGTTGGACCTTACCCATGCATACATCTACTTAATCTAAAAGCTGCTTAATCTAAAAGCTGCACTCATCCTAACGGGAAAGTGGGGAACAACCTGCAGACAGAAACTGCAGTTAAGCACTGGCACAGGCTGCCCAGGGAGGTGGTGGAATCCCCGTCCCTGGAGGTTTTCAAGAACCATGTAGTTGTGGCACTGAGGGACATGGGCAGTGGGCATGGTGGGGTGAGCTGGCAGTTGGGCTAAGTGGTCATAAAGGTCATTTCCAACCTTAACAATTCTATGAAATGACAGTCAAAACTACATCTGTACAACATTTGTATTTGTATGATAAATGCCATGAGAGCAATGAGTAGGTTACAACCAATTTTTTGAAATTAGTCATATTTTAATAAATTTGCACACAAATCCTTCACAACTGTGTTAGAAGAGAAAATCAATCTACTAAATTGTAGTGAAACTTTAGCTGAATTCCCTACATCAGATTCTATTAAAAAACTGTCAAGTTACAATTTGCAGTATTCTGTGTTAAAACACCAAATTATATTGTAGTATGTCCTTTGCATGCCTCCATTTGGTTTGTGCTTGTACAGTACCATGACAAGATCTCTGAAGGACTATCAAAATATAAAGAAACGTATTTGATTATAAAATGGTGACTTAGGGACTATAACAACCTATTATGTACACAACTACTTAAGGTCATGAGAGCAGAAGCACAGCTCATAGTTTATTGTTGATTCACGTCTTTCCACGGACTCTAAACAAAAATATGTGCTTGGAGACATTGAATTGTGTCTTTCTAAATCTGTCCTAAAACTCACAAGACTGGAGCACTATCATTGGTTGCATTTTTACTAGAAAATAAGATGTTTGATCCTGAGGGCAACCACCCTGTTGCCAGTGTGGTAAAATTCCAAGGAAAGCCTCTGCCATGGTTTTGGCCACTGCGTAACTGAGTATACACAGTTCCTGCCTACATTACAGGTGTCATTATGTCATTATGGAACATAGTCTGTTTCCAATGAGCAGACTGTATAAGTCTACCCTGCTTTGAAAAAAAATGGGAATAAATAGTACAAGTGCGGGCTGTACCCTTCCATTTAGCTTCCATGCTAAAGAATAGACCTGGGCACATTTAATATGCTGACATAGCCAGTACATACGGCTATGATGAAGCACAAATTCAGGGACTTGTTTTGGAGAAGTCATTTCTGTCATTTGATGGAAAATCAAGCTAGTCACAGAAATCCCATACATGTGTTATGTATTTGCCTGAAGGTCTTATTGGAACAAGTATTTTGAACAGAATATTCTAAATTGGCGTGGTATTCACACCTGACCATCGCGTTCAAGCAAACATAATGTTTACTGAGAAAGGGGGAAATGTTCAAATGTTGCTGATTTCTTTTTTTTCAGTGCAAATTAATAATGCGTATGTATTTTTGTCATGAAGAAAAACAGAGATAGTAAAAATAGCTCACAAGTGAGAGAGCTGCTATTCACTCCCCTGTTCCTGGAACCATGACAGCCATTATATAACCAAAAAGAAAATTGCATGAAATAAACAACATAAGTTAATTGGGTTGATATCAAGTAAAAATATAATTAGTCAAAGCATTTTGTGGCAAAAAGCACCATCAATATGTGGCAGCTCCTCAGCCTCACTGGTGAACAGGAATCTGGCCATGTGTTTAAAACTTATTCCTCAAGCATTTCCATGGAAACACATCGATGCAGAGTCCTTGGATCACTTATTTCAGGAGCTATGGGTTCACTCTAAAGTGAGAGCTCAGCCCAAGTGAGTTTTGGGCAATAATTCTGATCTAGATATCTCCCCATACTGGTATTTTTGGGGTCTTATAATGTGGGCATTTGGACGAGGAAGAGTGTAAAATTTTTTTCTCTTGCATAAGAGAAAAAAATACAAAATCTGCCTAATTTTTTCTTCTCTGAGACTGCCTGGGAGTTGAGAAATGACAGCACTGGAAACAGCCTGAAGAGTTGACAAAACGGCCAAATACCTCCAGGGAGATTACAATGTCTGCAAGTGTTAGTGAGGTGCTATACTGAAAGAGACTTAGATTAAATGCAGCCATCAGATCTGCTTGTTAAAAGCTGCCTTTTTCCACATCCACGCAGGAACCAGCTCCGGTGCAGCCTCCCAGGGCTGAGGAAAATTCTCACACGTTAAACCACTTACAGTGACAGAGCCAGCCCACCACCATGTGCTGGGAGCACAGCAGCAGTTTGCTCCTGCTACAAAACCTATAGCTGCTTGAGAAAACATGGCCCTTAGCTCTGCTTGTGGCTCAGTACATGCACTGTAAAAGGCAAGTAATGCTGGCTATGATGCACAAGGGCTTCATCAGCACAAAGTGTTTTGAAAGCTCTGTTAAAAATTTGCTGTATGAATAGAACATGCTTCATTCCCAGTGAGTATTTCTGTAAGAAACAAACACAAAGCAGGCTTGATGGGTGCAGTGTATGACAGGTAGCTATCCCTGGATAGCTACCTCCCTTCAGATTTCTCCTGATGATGCTAATAAAATTAGTGCCTGTGTCCCTTTCCCATCCTGTTAAGGTTTTTAATAAGCCTCGCACCTTCTGGTAAGAGATGTTCCAGTGAGAAGGCCTGGGGCATGGCTGCCTTTAGCAGCAGATATATTCTGAAATGCAACAGGGAACACCTGCATCCTATCTTTGTGCTCTAGCAGGGAAGGGAAAGACTAATATTCACAATGCATTAAATATAATGAAACACATTAAACCAGCATTGCTCACCTAACATACATTGCATTAAGTTCTTAAAAGCCAGAGCTTTTGTAGGCTGTTCATGAGTATCTGAGGGGTCTGTTACTGCAGCAGTGTGATAGTTCCTCTGGACTGAAATATCCTTAGGCACAATGGAGTTAAGCATAAAGCGTGAAGCCCTAACTTCAAATTTTCTGCCTTTTTCTTTAGTCTGTCTCACAAGGTTCCTTTAAGGCCTTTTTCTTGTGTTTATTTTGTCATACATTATATAGCATTAGTGATAATCCAAGTAGGCACACTGTCACCAACTGGGATAAGTTCATCCTGAACTGACTGGTCTGGGACACGATTTTAAGTGCTGCCACTACAATCAGCCTGAATAATGCTCCCGAGACACAGTAGCAAACTAAAAAATTGACGCAGGGTGGAGTGTAGTGTTTAAAATATAGAACTGCTTCCATGTTTCCACGCTACTGTCAGCCTTTGAGCCTTACTTTTAACGTGGAAAAGGCTATGGGACTGAACAGAAGCTTGGCTGTCAGTGAAGCAGGACAGGATGTAAGACAACAACTCTACAACCCATTTTTTTCTCTTGGTGTTTCAGTCACTTCTAAAGTCACTTTTTTACAGAGCCCTTTCTCTGCAGAGATGAATCTGCACGTCTTGAAAAATCTACAGATACCGTGAGATTCTACAGTCTGCCATATAATACGCACAGCTGAGAGAGAGAAAGGGCAAAACATTCCTCAAGCCGTACTTACATATTCAGAGCAGTCCCTTCTGCAAGTCCTCTCTCCAGTCTAGGACATCCCCAGCCACTCCTCGACATTGAAAGGGTTTGAGTCTATTGCCCAGGACAGCCAAGTGGAGACCCTAAGCCTGTGCAGTGCCAGAGACATGACTACTGGATCAGATAGGATCTAAAAATGAGAAAATTTGGAGTCAAGAGAAATTCTGATAGAAAGAAGCCTCAGAGTGCAGAAGGCTTTCCAATAAAAAGACAGACTTATTCTAGACCTCTTCAAGGTCCTTGGCTTCCTGGAGGAGGCCACTCTTCTTCTGCTTTCTTGTATATAAGCTAAACCTCATAAACTAATGAAGCTATTTATTTCAAGAGGCTGGGAAGCAAAAGGGAAAAAAGACAGTTACTGTTGTTTCTGTTTTTTATATTCATATAAGACACTTAAATAGGGAACACTCTGTAGGATGATGTCATTAGAAAGGAACACTTGAATTAAAGGCCACAGGCATAACAAATTCAAATGAAATCATGTTCTGAAGCACTGTATCTTTTACGTTGCTTGGAGAAGGACACACAGTTCCCTGTCTCAGTATCAGCGAGACACCGATTTTCTGTAGAAATGCACTTGAATTGGATTTGGTATATATTACATGAAATTCTGCCTTTCCTTCAATAGGAGTAGGACTGGCTCATTCTGGAAAAAAAAGAAAAAAAAGAAAAAAAAAAAAAAAAAAGTTTGTTTTTTTAAACCTCTGAAACTTCTTTAATACTTTCCCCATAGCAATGCAATTCAGAGAAAAAAATAGTTCAACAATTGCTCATTTTCTCTGCTCATCTTCACGGAAACCCTCAAGCAAACTCATTTCCTCATTTATATCAGCTATCTCCCAGAAGATCTTTCTTGGTGCATAAAAAAATTCATTTATTAAACTGTAAAGGAGGACAGAGGGATAGAAAGATTTATTTGAATACATCTTGCAGAATTAAAATATGGGTGTAGATTGGATGTCCTGATAGATAAGAAAAAAGAGCATTTGCTTTTAAAGTATTTCTAGTTAAATAAAATGAGGATGCTTGACATCATTTGACTTCTGCATTATGCATGTAATAGGTGAGCAAATAATGAGGACAATAATTTTATTTATTAATAGTGATATCATTTTGGCAATATGGGAAGAAGTTATGTGTTAACTTTGGGAAATAATAAGAAAAATAATGTCTGCCTTTTTCTTGTTTGTTTGCTTTCAATGGCAGCTAACGTACTGGAAGAAGACTCAATGGAGCAGGACATAGAGAGCCCTGTCACTATTCATCAGCCAAAGTTACCCAAACAAGCTAGAGAGGATCTGCCAAAAAATCTAAACAAAGAATGTGCCAAGAGAAAAATCCAGAGGTATGTTAGGAAAGATGGAAAATGCAACGTCCACCACGGGAATGTCAGAGAGACCTACCGTTACTTGACAGACATCTTCACTACTTTAGTTGATCTGAAGTGGAGGTTCAACTTGTTGATTTTTGTCATGGTTTACACAGTGACCTGGCTCTTCTTTGGAATGATCTGGTGGCTAATTGCCTACATGCGAGGAGATATGGATCATATAGGGGACAGCACGTGGACTCCATGCGTCAGCAACCTCAATGGGTTTGTCTCAGCCTTTTTATTCTCAATCGAGACAGAAACTACCATTGGGTATGGTTACCGGGTCATCACAGACAAGTGTCCCGAGGGAATTGTTCTTCTTTTAATTCAGTCTGTTTTAGGTTCTATCGTCAACGCTTTCATGGTTGGCTGTATGTTTGTGAAAATATCCCAACCCAAGAAGAGGGCAGAAACCTTGGTTTTTTCTACAAATGCAGTTATTTCCATGCGGGACGGAAAGCTATGTCTGATGTTCCGAGTAGGAGACCTTAGGAATTCACACATTGTAGAGGCATCAATACGAGCCAAGTTGATCAAATCCAAACAGACAAAGGAGGGGGAATTTATACCGCTCAACCAGACAGATATCAACGTAGGTTATTACACAGGGGATGATCGTCTCTTTTTGGTTTCACCACTGATCATCAGCCATGAAATTAACCAGCAGAGTCCTTTCTGGGAGATTTCCAAAGCCCAGTTGCCCAAAGAGGAGCTAGAAATTGTTGTAATCCTAGAAGGAATGGTGGAGGCAACAGGTAACATTTCTTATACTTTGTGTAAAGTAAATGCTTTAATATTAGAAAGGAAAATCAGTGGTTTTGCTTCAGTTTAAAGGAATAATTTCAATAGTTGATACATTTGCAAAAGGCATCAGTTATCTGGTTAGCTTCAAAATTAAAAACGTGCCCAGTTTAATTGTCTGTTCCATCTTGCCTAATGAAATTAGTGTTGTTTCTGCTCTGTTTGGAAAATGGGATAGTTTTTCTCATTTTCTAAATTTTTTACAGCATGTCACACAGTTATTTGTCATTCTATTGCAGGAGCCACTCAACTACTAGGACCCTGTGGGATAAAATGTTTTAGAAAAAAATATATCAATTCAAAACTCTGTTTATGATTAATATGGAAGTACCATAGTTCCTGCTGCTTCCAATCACCCATGGGTAGCTGCAAAATAACTGCTTGCCACATTAAACTCCAAGCCTGTTTGGATCCAGTAAGAAATGATGATGTGTTTAGTTTTCTCTTTTTTATTTCACTGTTTACCTGCTTTTGTTTTAACTTGTAACTTGGAGCTTGTTTCACTTTAGTTCATAAAAATCTATCAGATTTTGTATTTCACTTATCTCTCCTACACACTGCAAAAGTGTACAGAACACTTAATGCAAGTATATATAAATAAGGCACGTTTTGTCACCAAAGTCTTGTAGAGAGGTTGTTTGGTCATTAACTATAATTATACAGCAGAACATCAATAGCAATCTATACAGAGAAAATGCCGCTTGGAATTCACAGTAAATGGACTAGCAGTGTTTCTTCTTTGCATTAAAACTAGAATAGTAGGAGGATGTTTTGTCTAAAAATTATGCACCTACTTCAGTCAGAGTGCTGGTATACTTGGCTTAGGAGAGATGTTTTTCCTGCTAATGACAGCATCAAATTCTGAACTGAATAAACATAAACAATACAAGGAAATGGTGATTAGAAAATGAAGAAAGGATGTGCTCAGGTAGAAGAAAATAGCAAGCAGAGAAATAGAACAACCAGATTTTCCATTTTCCCTCCTACTGTAAAAGCTAGAAGAGTTTGAGGATGCAGATTACACTTCTCTGACACAAGTACAAACTTTCTAACCCTGACTCATGTTTTGCAACTGGAGCCAGGAAATAAAGAGCAATCTCTTACCAGAACATGTGTGTGTGTTTCACACATCTATTATGTGGTGTCAGAAAAAAATTGCATTTGTCACCATGTAATAAATGTGTGAGACAAAAATGAAGAAAAATATAATTCAAGGGAACTTGGCAGAGAGTCTGAATAGGTAAACGCACGGCTTCCACATTTTCCAGAAAGTTGATGGCAACGAAGAGGAATCAAGGAAATGAAATGTTTAGTGTTTCTGATACATGCAGTGAGTATAGAGGTTTCAAACATCTGTGTCACCTTTGGATGAGAAGATGAAGAAATTGCTGTTTGTTAGCTGAAAACATTCCGAAAATTCTGAACTGCAGCTAGATGAACTTGACATCCGAAAGAACAGTGGTTGTTTTGGTGTTGCTTTTTTTTTCAGATGTATTGAATACTATGTTTTCAAGGGAAAAAAAAAGGGAGGGGGGGTGAGGAGGGGGGAGGAAAAAGAATGGCAAGTAATAGTAACATTTGAGGGCTACTCAGAAAGTAACACCTCCCATTTTATTATGATGCTCCACAAAACCACAGGTGGATGCAGGTGGAATGGCAGCAGAGACTGAATTTTCCGATTAATATCCCATTAAATTTTGTAGCCATGTGATTGACAAAATGGCATCTGACATAGAAATTCATATGAAGCAAAGGCATGCCATTTAATTCCTCCATGTGGGAAAAATGGCACCCACTGACATTCACTGACACTTTCTGAACACTTCCACACAGTGGAAGTGAGTACAGTGAGGAGTGGTGCAGGGTGGTGCATTTCACCAATGGCGACAAAGGGTCACGTCCAGCACAGATTTTTCAAGTGTGACATGCAGGCTCTTGTTTATCACTGGCAAAAACACATAGCTAGTGGTGATGGCTGTGTTGAAAAATAGTGATTCGTAGCTGAGAATATGCTCTACCAAATAAGGCAGTTGTGCTCCTTGTAACAGCTGTTGTTTCCATGGAAATAGTTAGGAGGCATTACTTTCAGAGCAATCTATGTAAATAGCATCTCACTGAAAAAATGTAAAAGATCAGCACACAGTATACTTTGTATGTATACTTCTGCAGTACATCAAATGTAGCTTTGTTGTCTTAAGCCTTCAAGCTTTTCACTATTTAACCTTCCAATCCCTACTTCTTCTTAATCTTAGTACACTTACACAGCCTTCTGTTCTCTCCTTTGCTGCTCTATTGATATATTGATCCTATCTTCTACTCAGTCATTATCATCTTCCACCAGTGAGGATGTTTGGGCTGACAAAGTAATGTTAAAATTCTAGAATAATTCTGGAATAAGTTCATAGTTAATAGAAAGACTGGATGTAACTATTTGCAAACCTGCTGAAGCTGCCCAGGATAAAGGTGTAACCCTGCCACATTTTCAGCTGCTCCATTTCATTCTGTTGGGGCCATCTCTTTAGCATGCAGCTGTATGAGATATGAGGGGAGGGCATCGTATAATATCACTTAACTGCATCATCAGGAATAGTAATGTCATAATTACTAGTACAGTTTCTGTTTGTGTGGTAGTCCACATGCACTGGATTACTTCTGAAGATGCAACCAAACCAACATTCTACCATCACTAGACACTTTCCTTTTTTTTTTCTCAACAGATTTTTTTTTTTAATTTACATTCTTGCAAATATTGAAAGAAAATTTAGGCCATCATATATTCACTTTTCCTTCTTACATCAAATGTAGAGTGAGAGCAGCAAGAGAAGCTGCTCACTGCAGAAATCTCCAGCACACTACTGTTCATACCTTCCAGTACTGCTCGAAGACATAGGATAGTAAAATACTGGCAATGAAGCTAAGAAACTGTGTCCTTAGCTATAGCAGCATCATCACTGAGTATCACTTTGCATGCATCAAACACAGATGGACAGCATTATCTTCTGTGCATCAGAAAAAGTCACTCCAAATTCTGACCACATGAGAAAAATCCTTTCTAAATTTTCAGAGCTTCTCTACTCTTACATTTATCCTTTTAATGAGAGGCAATATGGTACAAACTGCCAAATATGAACATTTGCTATTATTTTTATCAATTATTGCTATTATTCTGTTCAAAGTTTTATTGAGAAAATATCACCTTATATAATAGTTTCCACCCTATGGGATTCAAGAGCTCAGCTACTTCTAGTATGAAATATAACTGCTTATGTAGCATCATGTAAACTTTGCACTGTGTTAAGAATAGGAATGAAGAATAACACATCTTTTGAAAGGAAATGAAAATTTTTAATCAAATCAAAATTTAGGAGAAACATCAAATCAAGGACACTCAAATTCCCCTTGGAAGCATCACCATACTTTCTGAGATTCAGAATGGAGTAGATATGTCTGCCAAGGCAGATATTGAAATGTCAGCCAAGAAAATATCACTACACCTTTACTATTGACATTAATTCTACCATAAGGGTTATTTTGAGGGCAGAAGATTCATAAAGGCACTTCCAACAAAATACAATGTCAAGCTGACTTCTTCATATTATATCAGCAAGAACTGAAAATAACACTGGTTTTATAAACGTTATTGATCCTTTCAATATGCAGTTTTCCTTATTTCTTTACTCAAAAATCGTTCTGTGTTCAAAGGATAACACTCTCACAAAGGTTCACTCCTATGGCCTTTCTAATACCAGCACACGTCTCTCAAGCACCCAAAAAAGAAATGGTGTTTCTGAACTTGTTCTGTAGTGCTCACAGCAGATATGTTACTGCAACACCTACCACTAGGGTTGGTGACTCAGCTGAAGATGCAGTATCTCACACTTCTCATTTTGGTGGACCATGCTGCCACTCCTCAAGGTGAAGTGAGATCAGCTTTGCACAGCCCTACCCTGTGAAGTACATCAGGCCATTATGAAGCAAATGACAATCCTTCAGGATGAGGGGGTCAAAAGTCCAACCAAACATCACCCTATCTAAAGGACATATCCATTACTTCCAGCTTTTACAGCCACTGTTCTGCTTCCCATTTTGCTAAAGGCAGGTGAGAGTGCAAGGAAGATGCAAGAATCAATAAAACTCAGCAATAACAAAAATAACCTCCATCTTTAGTACTTTTGCATCTTTTAGTGTCAGAATACAGCAGCGGCATTGAAACTACAGGATTCCAGCATCCCTTCCCTCCCTATGGGAGAGCTGCAACACTATATGCAAATCTACTAACGGAAAAGAACAAGACCAATGCACCAATCTCAATCCCTCAGCATTTGAAATCTGCCATTGAAAATACTTGGTTTATATTAAAGTGCCATCACTTTTTTTTTTTTTTTTTTTTTTTCCTGGAGATCAATTAATATATTTGTTAGACTATGCAGTTTTATTGCAGTGGAATTTGAGTAAATAATATTGTCCTTTGGTCTATGAAAAACAGAACACAGAGGCTCACAGATCCTGAACCCTGTCTCCCTTAAACAGTATGCACAAAAGTTTGGATCTGAATAATTTATATATTTCTCTCAAATTAAAAAAAAAAAAAAAACAAGGGACCTGGCCTAGTGGGAGGTGTCCCTGCCTATTGCATGGGAGTTGGAACTACATGATCTTCAAGGTTCTTTCTAACATAAATAGTCCTATGATTCTGTGATTCTATGAAATCTACAATTAACATATTTTATGTCAAGTTAACAGCCACTTTCCTACAATAGACTTGACAATTTTAACCCTTTTTCTCCAAGTGAAGTCTGTTTTTGATGTGAAGTGGGAAAGTGAAATATATGAGATGAGAGAGAAACCAGGTGGGGACAGAAAAATTCAGAGGAACTTTCAAAAAAGGAGAGAGAGAAAAGGGAGTGTCCCAAACAGCCCATAGCTTTGATGTTAATGTGGTTTCTGAATTGTA